GGGGGGGGTGTCACCCTGGCCAGCCCCCATCCAGGGGACAGCGTGGAAACAAGGGTCACCCCAGGGGACTGCTGGGGAACCCGGGGCCGTGCCTTTGCTCCGGGAGGTGACGGCGCCTGCGCCACCGGCCAGCAGCAGCAAGGGCTGTGTCACGAGGGAGGAGGAGTCCCTCCAGCCGCAAAACAAGCCTTGGTCTGCTGGACGCGTTCCTCCAAGGCAAATATTGACAGTGACATTGCCCCGAGGAGCGGGGAGCCAGAGCACTGCTGCTTCAATAAAGCGGCCAAGTGCTTTTAATAGATGTAAATAAAGCTCGTGTCGCAGGGGGCCGAGGTGCCTGAGCGGGGAGTGGTTCATTAAGAGGCCAGGGAGCCTTTCATCTCCGGCTCGTTGGCTCCACTCCAGTGACCAACAGTTACCATCTGCCGGGTGACCTCCGCGGAAGGAGTGGGTGGTCTGCACCCCTCTCCCCCTGGACAGGTGTCCGGCGTCACCCACACCGCAGCTCCGCACCCTCCCGGCTCAGGCTCAAGGTGGGCACCTCAAGGAGGAAGAGAAGGCGTCGGTGGGCACTGCCCGCTGCATGGGCTCCGGGGAGGCTCAGCCGCAGGAGGAGCAGGGCAAAGCCCTTGGGCGCAGTGTGGTCAGAAAAAAAAGCCAGTCGGAAGCAGGATGGACGAGCGAAACAGCTGCAGAGCAAGGGAGAAGAAGGTCACGCTACTCCTTTCTCCTCTCCAGCGCCTTCTCACAGCCCAACAGCGGCCGCCACAGCTGCAGCCGGCGCTGCCGTCGAGGCACAGCACCCAAACTGCTCCCGCAGTTCACCTGTGTGGCCCAGACACAGCCCAGCTGGAGGGGAGGGATGTCCCACAGCTGAGAGCATCCCCAGCGCCACACGGCACCGCTCTCCAGAGACACACAGTTCCACCACGGACTCATACCGGCGGCCACCATCAAAGCTGACGGAGCCCTAAGTGTTTTAGCAGGCAGTATGCAGGCAGAGCAGAAAACCAGAAGACCACACGCTTTCGTGAGCCAGTCTGCTCCCTAAATATCACCGGGCCGAACCAGAGAGCTCCAGGGCACACGGAAGCCAGGACAAGCCTTGCCCTGCCCCACGGCCACCCCTGCACACTCACCTCCCAGCTTACACCATTTACTACTTCCTTAAGCTTGGCTTGCATCCAGTTTCAACTCAGGAAATAAGCACAAAACGCCCGAGAGAGGAAAAGCAAGAGGTGACGCGAGCCACAACGCAAGACAACTCTCAGCGTAAACCCGCCCCGCTGCTCTGTGCTCGGACGGAAAGAACTGCAGCAGCGCAGGCGGTTTTGGAGCTGCTGGCTGGTGGGAAAGAGCCGTCAGTGAGCGGTGAGGGGAGCAGGGGGTCCCCAATCACCCCCTCGGGCTCAGAACCGCCTGCCCCGGGGCTGGGCTAGCTCTGTAAGCGCAGGTAGCCGACCACTTCCATTCCTGGTTTGCTACGGAGAGCTCCAGCCAACATTTCACCAGTAGCAAACAAACGCTGCAGGGACAGCGGCAGTCTCCACAGGCTGGAATCAAATTCAGAGAGAAGGGGTGTCCCGACTCTGCTCTGTAAAATAAACGAAAAGCTTTTAAGGTTGTGAAATTTGCAAACACGAGATCTGCGGTCAGTGAGCGTCGCTGGAATTCTGGGAAGAGAGACATGGAAGAGGAAGGGATTCACTTTAACCATCAGATGGGAAATACAGTTATTTTTGAGACTCGTTATTGATCCATACCTGTCCGCCAGCAGCCGAGGAGCCGCTGGCTCTCCTTCGGTGGAGCAGGAGCCCTGCCCCGGACCTGGGGAGCAGTGCCACCCAGAGGGCTTCTCCAGAAACAGCTCACGCCATCTGACATCTCGCCCAACTCAGCAGCTATTTTTTTTCCCCTTCTGATCAAAGAAAGCTTCACTTTCTTTGCCAGCTCTCTTTCAGCTGTCTTTCAACCCACCCTCCTCCCTGGGAGAAGCAAGTCTCGCTCAACAGCAGCTCCAGGTTAGGGAAATGGCTTCAACAACAACTCAGGGCATTTATTCACAACGCTGGAACATAAAAATAACATCTTTAATAGCTTTATAGTTGGCACAGATGGTATTAAAATTCACCACTTTTTATTAATAGACTATGAAACAACACATGGTGCAGTGCCGAGGAGGGCAGCTCAGACTGCATGTTGCTTCTAAACCATGTAGCTATGACAGGTTGGTGTTAGAGTTGACTCTTTTCAATTACATTCAGCATTTATAGTCAGAGAGTAAAACCAACAGCTAGATTTAACCACACGCACACAGAGAAAAGCCTGGGAGGGATGTTTCTGCCGGCAACCGATGTCTCCTCCTCTTAGCAGCACACAAAAGCCCAAAAATGTAGTTGTGACACAGGTTACCAGAGACTTGCCGTAGCCACCGTTGGGCAAATAGCACGTGACATAATGCTGGAGCTTCTGCTCACATCTGAATGAAACAGTTACTGCGGTGAAAGGGTCATTTCCCTCTTCCAGGAGAAGCGAAGGCGAGACCAGCGCTTAAGATATTAAGACATGGCCTAGAAGCTCTGTCAGTGGTGAGTGGATTTTTTTGGGGGGAACCTAGAACACAGTGGAACAGTAATACCTTATTTTCTGAAGTATTCTTCCCAAAGGGCCTCTAGGAAACCTCCCTGCTGCCCTGTGAGACAAGCAAGTATTACAATCCTCACACAGACGTGGACGGGGAGGTGGAGGCACCAAACAGTCAAGCGATTTGCCTTGGAAAGCAACAGCAAGCTGATGGTAGACCAAGGACCTTGCAGAAAAGCCCCATTCTGACCAAAAAGAACTTACAGCGTCAAGAACTACTGTGCAGAATGAAAATAACTCCCAACAACACTTCACAAGAGGGGACGGGAAGGTTGAAAGCATCCCAGACGATCTGAACAGACATGGAACCAATGGGGAAAGTTAGCAGTGTCAGCCTGAAAAAGACAAATATAAACTTGGGCCGAAAAGACACTCCCACACTTGTGATCTGCATCCAAAACATTACGCCATGAACTCATGCTGGCAACTGCGCTCCTTATCCATCCTCGTGTGCTTGTTAGTCGTCCTGTTTAAATGGATTAGTCTCTCCAGTGTCACAGTATGTCTCTATCGCAGTTTCTATGTAAGCATCCCTCAGCAGTGATCGTGTGCAAAACTTTTATTTGGGGAAACATTTATAGGTCTCTGGCAAGATTATAACTTATTTAATGAAGAATTTAGTCCTCAGTGAAAGCATAATCACTGACACTGCTGCAGATACATCTTGCTCATTAGCAACTCCATCCTGACAAATATTTGGTTTGTTCAACCTAGTTATCCAAAAGTCACTCTTCTTAATGACCCTGAAGGAGCCAAGATACCACAGTCACTTTCAACCATACATTTTCTTATTGTTTGTTGGTTATAAAAATTTCCAGTTTCTATGGGTACTCTATAATCACAATAAATTATGAGGCATTTCTGGCCTCTGTTCTGTTACGAGGAATTCCCTCTCACCATCATGATCGGGTGCCGACACAGAGGGAGGTAAGAATGCATAGTGAGGTCTCCCATCATCCATCCTCTGTTGAGGCCGCTTTTTTTTTTTTCCATCTAATGACCCTGCACTGTCAAGGTCTCCGTTTCGCCTTTAGCTTCAGCAGGGGCCTTGCCACCAACTGCTTTGTTGGAATAATCTCGCTCTCCAAAAATAGTGCTTCCAATCCTGACGTTTGTGGATCCAACCTCTATCTACGAAGAGACAGAAAGGAGTTCAGGGCTGAGCTGCCACCCACACCTGCCAACACAGTCCGTAACCAACCTCAACGCTCGCCATGTCACAGAAGGACAGTTCCCCACGTACTCGCCATCCCCAGCTACAGCTAGGGTCTGTTTTGATCCCCACAACTCTATCCAGGACAACGAGAGCTGTTTCTTACGGAACAGCGCCATCAGTATTGCCATCCAAGGGGAGGTTTAAGAGGCCCATTTGGATGCCGCCTGGGCTGGGCTTTGGGGTGTCTACTGCTGGTGCTGGTACGTTTGGCTCCCGAGAGAAGGGGCGGCAGAAGGAAACCAGACTTACTGCGTGCTGGAAGTCTGTGGACATGCCCATGCTCAGCTCCACCTTCTCAACGGGGAGATTCAGCTTTTCACACACTTCCTGCCGTAAAGATAGCAGCATCTAGAAGGGAGGAGGAAAGAAAAGAGGATCACACACTCGACAGCCACGCCAGCTCAGTTTCGGGGATTTACAGATCACGATTTCTGCCTTTCTTTGAAGTCTCCTCCCCACAGAACGTGCAATTCCCACGCTTCCCACTGGCTCTGTGGCACCGTAACAGTGCCTGGAGATTTCCCATTATAGGCTACATTACTGACAACACACGTACTTACAAGTCTACCCATCTCCTGAAGACATCCAATTACCACAGCAGCGCGACAGACGAGGAACGCAGACCCCGCTCCTCTGCCTGATGCAGCCCTGTGCACACAGTGCGCAAAGGAAGGCTGACTGACACCTCATCTGAAAGCAGCGCCAGAGGATCCAGAACGATAATTGCTGCACAAGGTGCCCCTGCCAATGTCCTGGCTACAGCTTCAGAGAAGGGATGGGACAGAATACATACAGGCACCTGGCCTCTGCAGAAATGAGCCTAACACCTGCATTAATACTGACACTTCAGAGGTCTGTACGACTCTGAACAAGGTCTTTCTATTGACAATCTACAGTCAGACTTACAGCTTGACTGCGTGCTGGTTTGGCTGGGACAGACAACAGACTGTAACGGGAAGCCAGCCAACAGTTCACATTTTCTTTAGAAGATCTCACCTGAAAGTCCGGATTTGGCCCCTTACTAAGGTCATGCCCAATGCTGCCGATTGTCATCAGCCCCACAAATTCCAGGCTTGGACACTTGTTGATGACATGCTCCACAGCAGCTGTGGTGTCTCCGGGAGGAAGGCCATGCTTACCTGGCAAGAAGTTGGGAGATTTGTGCCAAGCTCTGCCAGAGACCTCCCCTCCCCACAGCCAGGCAGAAACCAACAGATGAGCAAGTTTAATCTGAGCTTAGAGAAACTCCTTCAGAGCACGAACCAACCCACCCCATTCAGGTTGTTTCCATCAAGTCAGCAGGACCAACCTGCATACCATCAGAAAAAGCCACTTACTGTCTTCTCCACTCGTGTTAACTTGCACCATGACCTTCAGCTTCTGAGATGACCCTTTTTTCTGCCACGAGCTGTTGACTCTGTCTGCCAGTTTCACCGAATCCACCGTTTCCAACATGAACAGGTTAGGGACAGCTGGGGAGAAAGCACAGGCTGAGGGCAATTCTGCTGGCACAGAAATTTTTGTACCTACAGCTCAGCTCACTCATAGAGACAGGCACCGGTGAGTTAATGTACATGAGGTTGTTACTATTTGAACATTGGAAGACTATTGCCCACAGGGTCACTGCACGTAAAGTTAAAAAGGGTTTACCAATCAACTTGTTGACGTTGTTTTTCTGCAGATGGCCAATAAAATGCCACTTTATCTCCGGACAAGACGACAGAATCTGCAAGCAGAGAGGAACAGTTAGGCTTGAATGACAGTTCCATCTTCCCCCACACAGTACTTAAGCCCTAGTGTCCTCACAAACAAAATACCAGACACCCAATCTTCATTTTGTTTACCCTGAAATACACAGTTCAGGCAGCGCCTGTGGTGTGTACCAAGATTGCTTCACAGTCTGGAGAGGAATAGGGCTGTGGTTGCAGAGCATTACACAGTGAATAGGGAAGGCAAAGCTCTTTTGTAACTGAACAGTCATAAAATTATATTTTCCCCAAACTGTTTTTTTTTAAATGAGGACTGCACATCTCCTACAGCAGAAAGCACAAAAGGTAAAGCACTGTTCAGGCAAATACTTTATGACTAAGGTGCACGTATTCACTGAATCCTCTGGAGCCAACAAGGCAAAGAGGGGGAACAGGACAGAAGCAAAAAGCTAAGAATAACCCCGCCATTCACTTGAAACGACAAGGATCAAACAGTCACCATCGCCAAATCCCTAACAAACCCCAAAACTTTTGCTGAACAGCTCTCAGGACACAGCTATACAAGGAGAGAGAATATGTAGGAAACTGGGTACTTACCCTGGAGTCTGATGCCTTTTCTAGCAACTCTTGAACCTAGGAGAATTCAAGACAAACTCTTGTTAAAACCACCCTAGATATGCCTGAACTGTAAGAACGGTCTCTCTGGAATAGGTGCTGCTGGGACCAATGTGCGCCTCATAAATACAAGGCCAGGAGCCCAATGCTATAACCAAACCTCGCTCCCCGGCGCCGGCCTTTGGCGTGGGGCCCAGCCAACTCACATAGTTCTCCCCGAAGCTGCGCTGCCCGTGGCTGTAGGCGTCGATCACCATCTCTGCCGGCTTCGTCTTGCTGACAGCCACCAGCCGTGGCTGCACGGCCGGGAGCCCCTGCAGAAGCACCCATGGGTGAGGGGGACGCCCAGGGGAGGCTCCAACCTGCCCCACGCTCTCCCCAGCGTCCTGCAGCACATGGCCTGGCTCCCCAGCCCCATCTCAGGTCACCCCACAGCCAGGGGCTGCTATGGGAGGGGGTCAGGGCGGCCTCCACAGTGATGGGGGCCCATCCCTACGGGAGGGCTGGGTGTATGCGGGGGGGGGCCTATCTCTTGAGGGCGAGGATGGGGTCCTGTCTTCTTCGCTGGGGGGAACAGACACCCGCCTCCATGGTGGG